ACAGCATTTTCCCCATTCTTTGTTTATTTTCCCTGTCGCGAATGGGTTAACTTTCTTGTAAGACAATGCATTTATTGTTTCTCACACTTTAGAGCATGAAATTGCATTTCTTTACAAACAGAGGGGCATTATAAAAAAAAAAAAAAAAGTATATACACACACATACAGACACACACACACACTCTTTTTTAACTTGAATCAGCCCACTACTTATACAAACATCACAAGAACAATATGAGAGTTACAATCTCAATCCATAAAACCTTGCCCCATAAAAACTATAGAAAAAAATAAATCTACAATTACCTCCACAGTAAAGAGCTGCGCCAGTGCTTCTAGGATCCTAACTCGCTGATCTGTAGGGGCTGTTCGCATCTTGGTCCCAATGACATCTAGCACCTCGTCCATTTCAGTCTCTGAGTGAGGCACATGTATGCAACCACATCAATAAACAGGCAAAGATAAAGTGAAAGATAAAGGCTGGTATGCTAACGGTAATGTTCTGACTGATATATACGCACATTACTGCATAAACACATTGTGCAAAAAAAGAAAAGATCTAAATTTTTAAAATAAACTTTTCTTCAATAGTTCTCAAGCTGAGCACTGAAATAAAATATTATCATTTTAGTTTCATATCAATTATTACCCTCTCCTGTATAAAAAACATTATGTAAGATTATAGGTTATAATGTATGTATATAGGATTCTGGCAAACAATTTAAAAACTTCTAATAGTGCATGGTTAAATGAAGGTGTATGTTTTTTTTTCTATAAATCAAAGTTCTTAACCCCTTGGTGCCGGGTGACGCCGATTGGCATGCAAACAAAACACTCGAAAGCTGGCGTGCAGCCAAACGAGCCGGTGGCGCGCCAAAGCGTGACGAGCCAGTGATTTGGGCTGATGTCCCCTACTCACGCGCTCAAAGTCTGCGCGCCGCCTTTGTTTGCTGAAGCGTAGAGTTTTTTTTTTTTGTTTTGTACACCCGGCGCCATTGGGTTAATTCTCCTTAGTTGTTCCAAAGAAATGTCAAAATATGCCATTTCACTTAACAGAATATTGATGGTATTTGCACATCCTTGTTATTGCTTATGAGGGATAATTTTCATGATAACTGTTCAAAAGCATCACTTTGAGCTAATTTATCACAGCTCAAAGTTCAGGCTTGGTTACTCTGAACTTCTCATTTCAAGAAATATTTTTAGACTACATCTTATTAGAAGCTTATAAAATGTATATGCTTTGACTCAAAGGAACTTTATTTGTGACTTTAATATAATGACTTCACTACCAATTACCAAACTACATATTTTTTCTTAATCACAACACCAACACACAAAAGAAAACTTCACAGGTCAACAAATAAGAGGATAACCTACTGAACTTTGCCAGAGCAAGAATCCCTTCCGGAGAACTGCCAATGTGCACCACTGTCTCAATGGCCACCAGCTGAAAAGTGGGATCTCCAAGGTCCAGTGTTCCAGCTGCAAGTCTGAGAATCATCACCATGACAGACCCATACTCTTCAACCATCCTGCGGGGCTGGCTGTGGCCCATATTCCCAAAGAACTTGATCAAACCTGGGAAGATAAGAGTTCAACATTAGATACACATATCTGCATTAACACTTGAGAACAAACTTCTGTTGCTGTGATTAAGTCACTGCTTGTTCCTCTCACTTATCTATATCCACAACATGAAGCAACACCAGCTGTGGAAGAAACTACAAGTATAACATTGTAATTTGTTCCCATAAAAATATATTATTGTAATCTATCTAAATGCACAGTAAAACTACATTTCAATCAAATTTAGTTTTATTCAATAAGACTTGAATGAAAGCAAGCTTTGCCCAGGACTTATAAAGTTATGAAGATATATGAAGCGGTACCTGCTTGGCTCCCTGGGTTTTGGAATATGGATTATGTAAGCTCTCCTTGGAGTGTTGAAGTCTCCTAGAACTTATTGATAAACTGCAGGAAGGTGTGTTTACCTTACAGGCTTAAGTGGAAATCAATAGGAAAAGGAATTCCACACCACCAAAGCATTCTCTCTTTCAGGGAGAATACAACATATCATGGGTTGAATGTCACCTGAATTCTTTCCAGCATATTGTATTATATGTCATTGTAGTACCCTATCCTTGTGGCCTTGGAGCTTAGACAAGTTTTGGCATAGTCAGTGAGGCTGCCTGGCTTAAAGCAGTGACTAGGGTGACCTCAAGCACACCTACATTATCTGCCTTTAAAACTACTGCTTGTGAGGCAGTAAGACAAGGTTTTCTGTGAGACTTGCTGTTGAAATTCATGCCTTCAATATAGGTTTGCACTATTCGACAAACACTATCTCTAAAGTGTGAAGAATGATGTCTCTAGAGCTAGGAATAGTCACCTCTGCATGGCTGTTAATATGTTTGGTTCTTATTCTGCATGACAACAAAATTAAATGATACCCACAGAAGCAGACTATGTCCAGTTTAAACCACTCATGATAGGATTC